CCCCAAAACCCCAAAACCCCAAAACCCCAAAACCCCGAGATATTGAGACTGTATTGAAACTAGATATTTGATCTGAATAATTATGTCAGAAATTTCTGAATAATCACATGTAACATTTCGACATATTTCTCAACTTCCTGAGACTCTTCCTTGTTGGTTCTGGGAAAAGGATCTTTGTTTCCTTTTTTTATTTGTCGATAATATTGTCTTTTCTTAGCCTTACTATAAGATTGTACATGAAGTACTTACACCATAGGGTCAATATGAATGCACTCTAGTCTTGTCTTCAAATTTATATGTGCCTTACTGTCAGTAGGGAGTATCATTAACATCATTTGTAGGGTTTTAATAAGGTAATAATTCTTTTCAAAGTGTAAGAGGTCCATTCTGATGTGCATGAAGCTTGCTCCTTCCAATTGCTGAACAAAATTACACACCTGCATTCAATGTTCAAAACGAGTATTTTTACTGATTCAAATTAGGAGATAATAAGCCAACTTATACTTCTTAGCAAGTATACAGAGTGTAATTCAACTGATGGGATTCTTAAGCTTTGTAGTTGAGAAGTTCTTAATACAGAATGTTTCAAATAAGGTCTCAAAGAATTCTTTCTTCTCCTCATCACTATGGTCTCTCTTTAAAATATCTCTGAGGTATTTGTATTTATTTACACTTGCTAAAGAGTGCTCTAAGATTTCAGTCATGTTTCCGATAAAATGAGCGTCATTAAATCTCATCAATTCTTGTGCAAATTTGGAGAATATTATTTTTGGATCAATGTATTTTCACATTATGTTAATGGCAGTGTTAATTTGAGACTCCTATATTGTAAGTTACGGATATGATTTGGGTGTGTTAAATTTGAATCTACCTTAATGTTTGATTTCTTTTTATTTTCTGAATTTCCTCAGAAGAAGTCCAATAATTGAGCTGAGAAACTCACTGCTTTCGAGAGATTTTAGTGAAAATAAGTACAGAACTCTGTCTATATATCTTGGATCATTGAAATTGAGATTTTCAATAATCATGAATGAAGGATCATCTTCTATTTGAAAGAGACAAGTTGGGAAATGTTTGAAAAGAGTAATGTACCATCCAATGACTAAATTTTTAGTTTTTGGTTCATCCTTTTCAAGACTGGAACTAAGAATCATTTTTAATGTATTAAGATCATAATTCTCTCTGGCCACCAGAATAACTAACTTTTCAAGTGATCTATTGATTTCTTTAATCTCCAGGTATATCAATTCCTCTTCTACAAAGATGTAGTCAAAGACGCATCCAAGCATATCTGGGAAAATTACTGTTAAAAGTTCTTCATTTGTATTTCTAAGGTCTTCTCTATTTTCGATTTTGTTCTTCCAAGCTTTCATGTCTTCTTGAATTGAGGTCACTAGTTATTTTTCTTATCGGGCCATGATATATTTCTTGCATAGCACAAATCTTCTCTTCCTCAGTCCCATAGGAAGACATCAGGTCTTGGAGAGTTGTATTTATTCTCTTTTGTTCAAGATCTTCTTTGAAATATTTAAGAAAATTTTTCAACCAAGACAATGCAAATATAACAGATTTGTCAATAGTTTTGTTCCTCTTATCTCTGAGAAAGTGTAGCAATCTTTTTAGAACTTCAATATCAAGCCTGATGCATCTTCATAAGCAGTGCTCATAATCTCAAAGGAAAAGTTTAAGTTGGTTAACACTCATAGTATAAATATCATGTTTTGTGTTTGTGCCCAAGATTATAAACAGCTTTTCAATAAACTTTGGCAAACTTTTAATGACATCGTAATCACTTAAAGAGCTAAAGGTGTTAATCCATTTTATGAGGACTTGGAGAATATCTTGGTTTTGGGATTTTGACAGTTTACTGTATGCTTTATTCATTAAAGATTCAATATCAAAATCTTCATTTTTGATCAAAGCACCATACACAATTTCTTCTAAGAACTCTACAAGTTTTCTTCCCCAATCTTTAACGTCATTGTTTGGGTTTGAGACTACTGAGACTATTTTGTCAAAAGTTTCTGGAAATTCAAGATCAAATAGCACTTTTTCCCTATAAATTTTGAGAATATTAAACATTGTATCTCATGCTGCGAGCTGAACTTTAGGTTCACGATCACCAAGAGCTAAATATTTATTCAGATATCTTACCAACAAGAACTGGTTGGACGAGGCAATTGCAGAAATCAGTTAATGGATCTTCTTTATACAAGCCAACAGCTATACTGCTGATCCCATATAGCCCGATTCTTCTTTTCTGAGCCGTATCGTCATCAACATGGAAAGTGAAGTATTTTATAAGATTATAAATCTCTCTTTCAGAATTAAGAGAATAAACTTTCTCAGTGAGTTCGATGGATGCCTGCTTCCTATTTTTCCAAAGATTTATCTCCAAGATTCTTAATCAAAGCCTCACTGATGCTATCCATTAGAGGAAATTCGCTATCTTGTTCATGCTCAGACATTGTTAGATATTTTCTATAATTATTAACTTATATGGGGTTTTGGGGTTTTGGGGTTTTGGGG